TTAAATAAATCAATTAAATACATGTAAAATAATAAATTTTAATTTATTTGTTTTATTAAAATAATAAATTGTATTAAAATAATAATATGTAAAATAATAAATTTTAATTTATTTGTTTTATTAATCCAAAAACAGAAAAATTATATATATTTAATACAAGATATAAACGAATACTATTAGCAACATAAAAGGTGTCGCATACCTCTATTAAAATAATCGTAAGACAAAATTATAAATATAATGTTTAAAATAAATTTTAGTATTTGATTCAAAATTCACCATATTGTCTAGAATTACAGATTTTATATAAATATTCCTATAAAATATTCCTATATTTCGTATTTTGTAAAATCCATAATTACAATAAATTTTAGTATATAATCCATATCAACAGAAACATCGGAGATCGATGCAATGCAATGTTTTCTAAATCGCTGATGGTCGGATTGTTGAATACATTATAGCCGTACAAAATTAAGAAAAGCATATTTTAAATTACAATATCCATTGGTTCAATGTAATCACTTATGAAAAAAACTCAAAATACTAGCAACATATAGTTTTTTCTAATATACAGTCATCAGAATTTATATCAACTTATAGTGTTTTTGTGATTTATATTCCATGAATTTATTTGCTGTAGTTATATTATTACGGCAACTTTGTCACGTTCTTCCAATTTCATGTATATTAATTGAATAAAAAAGAATTAAATTGGGAGTTATGTTTTCTTTTTTTCTTGTATAAGTGTAAATTACCTTGAAGTAACAAGATAATGGATAGAAAAATAAATTAATAAAAAATAAGTTAATGAAGTTCAGTAAATGATCGGAAATTCATTAAAATATAAATTAGGGCGTATGGATCTTATCAAAGATAATTAACCTCTAAAATTAGTTGTCTTCCTATCCTTACACGGTAATTTACTAAGCTATTTTCATCAATTGTACACTAGCCCGTAGTCAGCTTGAAATGGAGTTGCCGATTCGTTATCTATTTCTATATAGCTTTAACATTATATTATAATATCTTTAACAAATTTCCAAATTGCTGAATCGAATAATAAATTAGGAGAGTGCAGGTCAGAACACATGCATTCGAGATTTTACAATACGTAATATTCGAATTATTTTAAAATACATAATATTTGAATTATTCGATACGAAAATTTTTGATGAAATTTAAACCTGGTGCTTTATCCGTTTAAAGCTTGTTTTCCGAGAATTCACCAGAGTTTCCGAGAATTACAACGCTAAATGTACGCAATCATTGTTGAGTAAGTCAAGTGAAATTAGTGCAAATCATAACAGTTAAAGTTCTACACGTCTTTTCGACACATGCAGGTATACATATTTATCTACATTATTTATTATCTCTTGCTGGCTAGCTATCGGTGCATCCTCCGCAACGTGACTATGATCAGACCGCTTTGAGGGCGACGACGTAGACTGGCATCTCCAGCAATCTATGTATATAAATGTAATTTATATCATATATTATTATTATTGCGGCTCAGCGCCGACAATATATAGGTCAGGCCTCTCCAACTTGATTCTTATCAAACCGCTAAAGGGGGCGCCGACGATGTTGCAATTCGCTACTAGTACATTAGTACTAGCGATCGCCGAATAATGTTCGCGACTCTTGCGGTTCTCTTATAAATAAGAACTGAAACGCGTGCCCAGTACTACCAACACAGTCCTAGCTTTGCAGTACCTGCAGTCTGCATCCCCCCCCCCCCCGTTAAACCGACGGTAAGGTCTAATCCAACCGCTTTGGTCTTCGGACCATTCTGGTGACTGGAATTCCAAATAATCATCTTATATAAAGATGTGCAAGAATAAAATTTATTTAGTATTACAATAATATGTTTTATTACCTTCTTGTTTCATTATTTTTACCAAGAATATGTGCATACTTTTTTTTATGAAAACGTCAACCTTATACGAGATTTTTGTATTTCTGATATTTAATAATAAGATAATTCAATAGGATTATTGCATAAATTTAATAGAAAATAAATTATATCTTGAAATTATGATATTGTTATTAATTTAATTCTATATATCTATTAAACATTAACATATTGAACCTATTGTTATTGTTTTCTCATTAAAAATTTCAAGTGAAATAAATGAATAAGATGATTAACATATTTCTAAAGCCGACAATGTTATTCAGTAGTATCCTGTATACGGACGATGTGATTGAACGTTTTTGCAGTAACGCCTTCATGAAGCTTATGAAAATAAATCTAATGTGTGAATGACGTGTCCGATCAAGAAAGACATAGCAACTGCAGCATTCTCATCAATATTACACTAATCTATATTGTTTACATCACAATTATCCATGCTAGATGCCACAAAAATAGCAAAAGATATAATGTGAATGAACTATTAATTATAAAATGCTATATAAATGTGAATCTGAATCTGAATCTGAATCTCTATCGCACAACAATTTTCATGAATCAATATTGTTTAATGTAGTTAATCTTTCTCAGATTAGCTAATCTTTGATATATTACTTTTAATCTTTTTAATTAACATAACTATATTACGAGTATTTATTCCAACAAATTATTACAATGTTAATTAAGTAATGATATATTTTTATTAACTATTATGTAAATGAATACGTATTATTTTTTCATTTTATTCTTAAATTATTTTATTGTAGGCCTTAGTTTTTTCTTTTATCTTTATTTAATATTATTATTGATTTCATTATGAGCTTATTATATTATCATACATTTTTTATAGAAATTTTATTATAAATTACAGTATTATATTATTTTTTTTTATATGTTCAAACATCTAATAATTGTTGTTACTAGTATTATAATTAGATATTATTTAATTTATTGATCAGTAGTTGTTCCCATTATTAATTTTATGATTACTATTATGTTGTTTTGATTATATTATTAAATAATTTATATATTAAGTAACAACTATTTTATTAATAGTTATTTCTCAATTAATTAATTACATTGAAATATTAATCACTTTTTATAAAACTTTTTAATATATTCTTATTGTAATTTCAAGAATTCTTTTAATTCATTTTAAAAGAAATTAATTCTAAGTAATAGTATATCAGCAATAATTTATCTTATTTTTATTATGTATATCGGCTTATTTTATTATGTAAATTTTATTATGTATATGTAATTTATTATGTAGTAAATCAGTTTTTTCATAATTCGTTTTCGAATTGAAATAATATATGGCTAAATTTTATTAGGAAATTATTAGAATGTAATAAATATAATATTTGTTAGTTATTAGTAAAAGAAAGAAATTGAATATATTTTAAATGTAAAAACATCTAATATATAATATATGATTATGTTGGATATGAATTGAATACATGAAGCTCAGACAATAATAATTTTGCATGGTGATCAGAATATTTTAACCAATATTAGTTACTTATAAAGAAGTGGTCCCGATTTCTACATTTTCAGTTTGTAGTCGTGAGAACAAAATGAATTCCAATTCCATAAATAAAACTAATATTACCTTAATGTGAGTAATATTAAATATTACAATTTAGGATTAAATACAATTTTTTTTATTTATTGTCCTAACAGATAAATTTACTTCCAGATAAGATAATGAGAAGTGCCCACATACAATTGCATTTATAATAAAGCTTTTGATTTTAATATAATCTCCCCTTTCCCACCTGCAGATACATAATTATATATGCATATAATTAGCCAATATATAAACAATTTATTTTTTATTTTTATGGATTTCTTTAAAAAAGTGTATTGCATATATATGTATTGAACAGACAGTGGTCTGTTGACAGATAAACCCGCAACTAGTTTGAAAAGAAGTATGTAGTGTACTTAACGAGGTTCATTAAAATCAAGACCTAGAATAATTTACAGTTATTACAGTAAAAAAAAGACAATGAAGCAATTCACATTTAACATTTATATTATTGATACTAGTTATAATATACAAATAGCCAACTACTTTAAGAAAGCTAAATTTTATTATCCATTACAATAAAGAATATACCTTTGATTTGTGCAAATTATTCTGTGCATACATGTTATAAACAACTTATTTAGCAAAAATTGTGCAGAAATAATTTAATACAAAATTATTTAGTCATATAAGATACCATATAAATTGAAATACTTTGTAATTTAAGTTTATATATATTTAAGTAAACAATTAAATTTAACAAATTAATACAGATTAACTCAAAAGAATATCGTATGATTTAGAATTATTATATATATATTATATATTAATGCTCTTGCAAAGTTTAGTACACTATATGCATTTTCCTCTTTCATTTAAAAATTCTTCCTTACCCTTGTAGTAGTACAAGATATATTGCAAAAAAAGTTTAAACTTTCTTTTGCCAATCTCATTTTTATTTAAAATTTATATGTAGCTTTCGATTAATTAATTCGAGTTCCAAATGAACAATAATAATTGTAAAATAATCAGTTAATTATAGCACAAGTTTGATTGTAATGCTCTCTCTCTCTCTCTCTCTCTCTCTCTCTCTCTCTCTCTCTCTCTCTCTCCCTCCCTCCCTCTCTCTCTCTCTCCCTCTCTCTCTCTGTAACATAGCCAAATGAATAAATTTCAATGAATCTTACTATAATTAGAAAACATTAAAAATTATTAAATTTTGTATATAATTGGTTATTATTTCAGATATATTTTAAAATTTAATTTTTGTCACTTAAAAAAATTTAATTTTAGAAAATGACTTTTTGTAATAATTATAAACATCTGTATGAAATTAATTATATATATTTACATATGCAAATTTACAATAATGTGGAATTTAAAGTAACTTCGATTTGAACTAATGCATTTAAACGTATTAACATGATAACGTGTGTTAAATGGATATATGCGCATGCGTTTTTCTGTGCATGCATACAGATATGTACAGAAAGTCTGCATTATATATAGTTCCTGTTTTAAAAGGGTATTTTAGATTTTCGACGTCCATTTTTAAAATGGATAAGTATATAGTAATGTTTCTAGAATTTTGAACAAAATATTGTAATTAGAAATCAAATAAATTGTTTTGTAACCTATTATCTCACAAGTTCAAATAATTCAGTCAATTAATTTTTCAATCCTTTTGTAAATATGTTTAATGTTTTTATAAAGAGGTACTAATTGTTTTGATAAGGTTAGTCTAAAAATGTATTAAAAAAATATGTTGAAATTTAAATATAATTATAGTATAACCCAAGTATAATTATAGTAAGTCTACCTAGTACTTTAATGCAATGCAAATAGCAATGGATTCATCAGAAAGTTCTTCAGAAGATGAATGTAATATTTATGTAAATGCAGCTTCTAAGCTTAATGGTATAAATTTTACTCGATTATATAATTTGCCTATTGTATATTTTCTTTTCTATTAACATTAGTTTTATTAAAAATTTTTTTTGAATTTTTATAAATATCATATCTAGCTTTAAATTATCAAGCTAAACCAAAATATAATGATGAATGTGATGATATGATTATTGATGATTCACAAAAGTAAGTTTTTAAACATAATTATTTTTTCCCTCTTGTAGTGCAAGAATTGTTCTAATTTAATTTAATTTTATTTTTAAATCAACTAGATTAAATGATAATCTAATGGATATTAAAAGTATAACTAGGAGTAATTATGTAAAACAATGTACAAAAAATATTATCTGTACAGACAAATGGCCAAATGATAATTGTTATATAGTAGAAGACTCAAACCAAACCCAATTTAAGAACAAAAATTTAAGTAAAAGTTCAGTCATATGTATAGATGATGATATTTCCTGTAGTGATTATGGTATTAGTACAAGAACAATTAGTCGTAGATCTAAGAAACAAAAAAATACTGTAAGATTGTAATCACTATTTATAAAATATTTTTTCAATTAATTGAACATGTTATATTTACATAGATTCCTACAAAGGAAGAGTCTACAGTTATTTTAAATGATAGTATAGAAGAAGAACTTGATAAAACTTTTAATTTACAAGAAGAAAACGATAGCTATATAGTTATAGGATCACCTGCTTCTACCACAAATTATGACAGTGACAATTATGAAGTTAGTGTTAAAGTTTTATGGAGATCAAATAAATTGAATCGGTTTGAAATTCAAAGAGTAAGCATTCTATCAACAATATTATTGCAAACATAGAATCCATACATTGTTTACTGAACCGTAACATTCTTGATTTCATTTAAAATAATATATATTTATAATTTCATGGATCAATTTTTATTTCTTCATAGTATGAAACATTTCAAAAAATATTTCAACATTTTGCCAAAATAGAAGGAGTTCCTGAAAATCAAATACTCATTATGAAAAATGATAAAAAAATAACTCCTTTTGATTCTCCTGTGTCAATCGATTGGTCAGTTATAGATATTTTAGGTTAGTTGTTTCAATTTCTTTTTTCAAATTATATTATTTTTAAACATTATTAAAATATTTTATATTTGAATAGACGGAGGTATTGTAAGTGCTGAAGTTGCAAAAAAAAATTATGAAAATTCTATTAAAAATAATACACACGAAAATACTTGTAAAATTAAGGTTCAAATATCAGACAAAAAATCTTTACTGATAACATTGAAAACTGATCAATCATTTACAGCTTTAATAAATAATTGTTCTGAACAATTAAGTATCCCTGAATCAAAGCTGAAGTTATATTTTGATGGAGAATTGATTAATATTTTTGAAACTCCTATGTCATTAGATCTTGATGAAGAAGCTTGCATGGATTTAAAAATATCTGAATAGTAATTTTATCCATTTAATGATTTATTTTTAAATCAAAGTGTTTCCAATAAAAATTAACTTTTTATACTATCAATAGTTAAAAATAAAATAATTAAAGTAAAATAGTGAAAGATTAATATTGTGAACTAGTAATACATTGGTTTTGAAGATCCTTTGGTTAAGTTTTTTTATACCACTTCACATAGTATTTTAAGTGCAATGTTTCAATTTATACTGACTTAGAATTATTTATAAAATATGATATATCATATGATATATCAAAATGATTTTTCAATAAATCGAATATTTTTAACTCTACTGGCATCTAATTATTTAAAAATTTTGAATACTGAAGTTAAATAAAAATACACTTAAGTAATATTTGAATAATATAATTAGAATTATATTATTTTTATTTAATTAAACGTACATGTTATTTTATTTTTGATTTAAACGATTCTTGATTTATAAATACATATATAGTTGAAATGGCAATTATTTTCTTTCTGGTATGTTTACATGTATTGCGTGTTCATAAGTAATTATAGAATAATTATACAAGAACAAATTAGATTCTACTTTTCATTATATAAAGTCAAAAGTTGTCCTATTTTTATTGATATAATTAATTTGAATCATCTTTACATTTTATTAAAATAATTAATCGTTTCATGTGAATTGAACCATGTACTTATGAGCAAATGTACTTCACATATTAAAAATTTTGTAATTTTACAATTGTTTTCTAATAAAGTAGAAACAACTTTTTACCCAGATCCAATCAGATACTTTTCTTTTATTACAGAGTGCTAGAAACATTAATAATTAATTTACCTACATATTAAGTACATCAATGAATCAATTTTATTTTGTATAACTTCTTTTTATATTATTACATGTACATTATAACTATTTGTATTTAATTAGGAAATGTGTTAATGTAAAGCAGAATTTGTGTAAAAGAGTTACATAAACATGGTTTAATTATTCAAGGAAATATATATTAATATTGTAAAAAGAATTGTAGATTTTAACATAAATATTTTTTTATCAGTAATTTTTATATTTTTTGTGGATATAAAATATAGGTTATTGGCTATAAAAATTAATTTGAAAAAAGGATAATAAAGGTCAGTATTATGTATGCAGCGACATTTAAGATTTGACGAAATTTATCTTTTTCATCAATGTTCTTGTTTATTTGGAAAAACAAAATAGAATTATATTTAATCGATAAAAAAATTTGACTGTTACAATAAAAAATTAATAGAAGAAAAATGCTTTAATCAAATATCTAAAATATATTTATTATTAATTTATAATATAAGAAAAATTAAATATTGTTTTTTTTAATTTATCTAATTTTATAAATTTTTACTCAATAATTATCACTATCAAAATAATATAGTATTCTAAATATTGAAAAAGATAAATTGTTTTTTTATAAATATATTTCATAGAATATATTGGAATTAGTCGTATTGAATTAAAAATACAATTAAAGACCTTCGTTATATTCGATGTTATGTTTTTATCATTCATCAATTTTTTACTTTCACGTCAGTCTTTCAAAATTATAAACATGTACATATAAATAATTTTCCTAATTTATAATTGTGGATGAAATACAATTAATCGAATAATTTCGAAACGAAATTAATTCGTAGTAAGCTATAATAAGTGATATTTCTATTATATCAATTTGTGTACACTATCAGTAATCGATTTAAGGCGCCCGCTTTAAGATTGTGATATAATAAAAAATTCATTTGTTTCTCTAATTTTTTATTCTTTTATAATATTTGTCGTTTTTCTTTTAATTCAATATTTTTCGGACGGATCATAGAATTGTTTTTAATTTCAGAACAATTAGATTTAAATACAGAACCTATCATGTGAAAGTAATATATTCGAGAAAAAGCTATATAATCATTTCGCCTAAAGATTATTTCTGTAGATCCTTTTTATACCATTATTAAAAACAGAACCACACTGTTATATCAAATATATATGCACTGACATATAATATATTTATTTTTTAGAACGTTTTATATGAGTTAAATAGAACCTTTAAGTTTTATTATAACAAGTTTTTATTGATTTATTTATAACTTAACTTTAAATGAACATTAAATAATAGTTTTTATTTTACTTGTTTTAATAGGTTCTTTTTAAATTCTAACTGGCAATACGTAGAAAGTCATGAAGAACATAATGTACGATAATATTTGAAGGTAAAACCTTATACAAAACTAATAGAAAATTTGTATTTTCAATATAAAATTCAAAGTAAAATAAGAAGAAAAATATTATATTACTAAATCGTCAATATAGCAGTTCATTCAATGGCTGTAATAAATAAATCTTTGTACAATACACTCATAATCGCATACACACTATACTCACGACTGTATATTCCAAATTTTTAATTTTCATTAACAATATATTACCTAGTAATAAACGTTTTATCGTGCTTATCAGCATTAACTCTCGACACTTATATCGCGAAATGTATATTTATATTACACGAATGATTCGCATGGAATGACAGCACGACCATATAAAACTTTTAAAGATCACTACTGTTCATCGTTTCGGATGAAATGACGCACTTGGCGTCGTCACAAAGTCATGTCGACGAAGTATTCGTTGTTGGTGAATTTGAAAGATCTCCACGCCAGGTGTTTGCCGCTTCGGTAATTGTCGTAATCTATGAAAAGTAAGTAGAAATGAAAATCGTACTTATTAATCGAATTTGATTATAAATTCAAAATATTTAAAACTATTTAATACTTTCAATGAATAAGCAATGATTTACAGATAGCGTTTATATCTAACATGAATTATAACTATATTAATAAGATTCAGTAAATTGTACTTAAATTCACATTATACTAAATATGATTTATTATATAACAAAAGATAATATTTTGTAATGCACATTTTAATAGTTTTATACTTTCATTAAAATACATACACCGTAAAGATTTCTTAATGTCGATTATTCAAGTAATTCGTAATTTTTCTCTTCTATATTAAAACATTGATTTGAAATGGAATAAATTTAAAATTAAATTAACAAAATTAAATAAAAAATATATAATTTAAATAAAAGAGCAAATAAATAATATAAGCCTCCATTTACGTGTTAGCTATAAGAATCAGTAAATAATAACTTAATTCGACGATTTTCGAAATATGAATAATGAAGCTAAGCTAAAGCAGCGAATAACTATTATTAAATTAGAATGGAAATAGCGAATAAGTTCTAAAAATCTTAGATAAAATAAAAAGGAAATAATAAAATAAACAAGGACAATAATTTCGTGTCTCGTGGTAAAATTATAAAAAGAACTTTGCAAAACAAATATTAAGCTCGGATTTGCCTTATTGTCGCAGCGGATGAGAGGCGTCTCGACTGTCGTGTCATCCGCCAAGCGACTGTTTGTCATGTATTGGTGCGGTGGCGGTATGTAGATTGATTTAGCCGAATGTCCAGGTGCGACTTCCGCGTAAATGATTGGCTCGTTAATGCCCGCTGAAGAAGAGGGTTGCCTCCGCGGAAGTGTTGACATCGGGAGTAGCTGAGGACGCTGGACGTTCGAAACGGGCACAGGTTGGTAGCAATTAGGTGGTACCCGGCGATTAATCCTTAAAGTAAGGTCAGCATACTGCATTTTCGGCGCCTGCCAAGTAATTGGTTCGTAAAGTTCAAGAGCTGACTTGTAAATAGGGGGGGGGGGTGTAGATATAGAGTTATTATTGGTCAGTATGATTCATAAATTCGTCATGCCAGATTTTCAATTACAAATATAGATTTTATAAATTTTCACAGTGATCGACAATTGATCTGATAGTTTTACAAATCTTTTTTCAAAAAATTGCTCCTTATTTACATTTTGTACATTAGAAATTTTAGAGAATTATATTACATCATCTTCTAAAAAAATATTTTCAAAAATAGTCGTTCAATAATCCAATGTTATTTTAAAAAAGGGTATTTAGAATAGAAAGGGTATTTATATCTTTGATGAAAAAGTACAAAATTGCAACATATTTAATGTTTTGTATTTTTCTCCACATATTGTATTTTTTATTACAAATATTATTCTATGTAATAAACAAGTGTTTAATGATTAATGTATAATTACTACTACATATTTGATAATATTCAGTACAGTATGTGAAATAATTTATTCTTTTGATCAAAATTACTCATTAAAATTTTACACATTTACACTAACAAATGTTTAAAATGCATTTACTGTATAAAAGTATTTCGTGTTATATTATAGATAACTTATATAATTACTTACAAATTTTTAATATAATACATTACGTTAATGTATATTCAATATTTAAAATTCTCGAATTTTGTAGGTTTTTACGTTATGAATGTTTCTCATTTAGAATAGAAGCGCCTCTTATATGTACATTCAAACAAATAATTCTTAGCAAGCTATTTTATTCTATCATGGCATGTCTCATATTTTATACACTTACATTATTCAACGAATTGAGTGATCCTGGTCCAATGTGAGGAGTTGAGTGCTGCTGTTGTTGCTGTTGTAATAAGTATCGTAATGATGTTCCTTTACATAATTCGGAGTAGGAATTATCTGCAATAAATAATACTAGCAATATACTTAATACAAAAATGCACTTTTCCTTATTCAATTTTCTCATTGATGAATGTATTAAATTATTTTTATATATTATATACTATATATTTTCATATATATTATACACGTACATTCTATATGATACTTTAAAATTAAAAAATAATTAAAAAAAAATTAAAATTCTGCATTTGTTCAAATTTATTATAGTTTGTCAAATTTATCAGTATCCTATCCTGTATATAGATATACAATTTTATAAACATATCAAATATTTTGAGTACTTCAAACATTTGAATGGTTAATCATACTAGATTAAGCAAAAAATTTTATTTGTCATATTTAGATAGAAATAAATATTTTAGCTACTAAATATATAATTTATTTGAGAATGTTCTGTAATCATGATTATTACTAATCAAATAAAATTGTATTTAAATTTTGATGCCTGAGTATACATCAAATAACAATAAAATTTACGTTTAGTCATAATCGAAAACTATTTTGATACATTTTTATCAACTTTTATTGCATACCAAAATGCGTCAAAATTTCTATTGTTTATTGAGATGGTGGCATAATCTGTTTTTTTTTAACAAAACTGAAGCATTACGTAAAGAGAGTGTAAATCGAATATTTTAAATTAAGGCATGATTTAAAGTAAATTTAGCAGGCAGTATTGTATCTCTAAGCCAATGGAATTAATAAATCGTTATGCAAAGCGTGAAAGGTTATGAGAACAGGAGGACAAAGAAAAATAAACATCGATATGAACTGACCTGTCGCATGGGGTATAATATCCGGATCCTTCTCGAAACTCTCGACACTGTCACTACTGAGTGGGAGGGAGCTAGACTTATCATTGGGCGGTGTTAGTGTTGCCATACCGCCATCATCATGCTGGGAATCCTTGTTATCTGGAGATCGGCGTCTGTAGCGCAATTTAAGGGCCAGTACGATAAGAAAGATGACGATCAAAAGTCCAACAGCTGCACCCACTACAACACCTAGTAGTGGGCCCGACAGCGACAGAATTACCGGAGATAGAGCTGAAGGCAGATCAAATTTATTTATTCTGCAGTTGCACTGGTTGTTTAACACTACTACCTTACTGTCCGAATACTTTTCTTTGATTTTACAGTCAATTTTCACAATATTGAATGGATTAGTTTATTGTAGGTTGAGCGCTGTATAAGGAGAGATACAATATAAAGAATTTGAAAATCACAACAAATGGGACGTCCTAGTAATTTGGATGCATTAATGAAAAATCATTTTATTTTAATTAAAAAGGTTACATCTTATATTTGTTGTATGTACACACGTGCATATATAAAGCTGATGTATATATAGATTTCTATAATATAATTATATATATATACATATATATATATTTATATACTATACATACACAGTCACACAGTTTCATGTAGATGTGTATATAATATTTTTGATTACGTAAGATTTTTTCATCATATTTTTATAATATATATATATATATATATATATATATATATATATATATATATATATGTATATGTATATGTTCGGGATTGAAGCAGTCCCATGAATTTCAAACAAAGGAAAGGTCATTTACGCAGCCCGGCGTACCGCATGTGCGCCTAGACTGACCGCGCGTGCAGCAAGGCTGGCCACCACGTGCGCCTAGGCTGATCCGCACGTGCGGACCGAGGCGGGCACTCGAGAAAATGTTTACAAACAAAACTCGGCAAGTCCGAGCAAGTTTACGATTTGAAATATTATTTACTGCCAGCACTCACAAAAAAGGGACGCCTTCGAAACTTCTAGAAGCTTCGTTTTCTCACGCCAAAGGAAAATTTCTGGAAGGGACGCGCATCGACACTGTTGCCGGCGCTGAAGACGCCGCATGCACATTTAAGCGCAACGCGCCATGAGGCGACGCTCATTCGTA